GCTGACCGTGATTTCGAGTGGATCAATTACGATATTAACACATTATTATTATTATTATTATTATTATTATTATTATTATGCTATATAAAGAGGCTTTCCAAACGTGCTGATATTTCCGCAGTATCAGCACTAGGACTGTCAGTCAATGCAGTTACATTGTTACACTAGTAGGTGGCGGCAAGGAATGATCTTTATGAGTAGTCATCATTAAACCGGTCAGTTCATTCAACTAATATGCATAAAAACACTGATTCATTCATGAATGAAACATGGTGTTGAAATTAATTTAACTTTGAATGCCACTTTGTAAGGCTCAATCAACGATCAACGCGTTATCTGGGTAAAGCTGAAGCTGATGTTTCATTTCATAGAAAACAATGCCATTGATTCAAAGCATTGAACAGAACTGAGGCCAAAATCCCCTTAAACACTGAAAGGATGCTATGGCAAAGATATCGCTTTCATCTTCTGACGACTGAAGGCAAACTGTTTTACTAATATGACTTGAAATGTATATAAAACACAAATTAAATAAAAAAAATTGAAACACAAATTTCTGCATTATTTATTCAGTTGTAATTGAACTGTGTAAAAGAGTTTTTTTCTTCTCCAAGCAGCAATAATGCACCTAAAGCCAGGCTCACACTGTGCGAATTTTTTATTTTTTTTATTTTTTAATAGTCCTTTAGGATTGTACTTGTCAGACTGTATGAACATGATGATCATTTCACACTGTGGGATCTCAGTTGTCATTAATGTCAGACTGTACGACAGTTAAGACCAGTTAAAACCGGGTGCGTGCAAGAAAACTTGTCCGGAGTTTTACCTTATCAACCCATACACGTTCAGTGACTGCAAGCTGCATTACACGTGGGGCTGTAATGTTGGCTATCATTAAAAGTATATGAATGTCGGCAATACCGGTGTATTTAAGAAGAATAGTGTAAGCAGCACTACACACCCACATGAAAACAGCAGCGCAACCAGTGTTCATCATAGTAAAGGCAACAAATCAGATGAATTCCGTGAGCGGAGGACGAGAGCGCCAGAGTTTATGCGGTTAGAAGATATCTCTAGCATTAATTCTGATCATGGCTTGTCTTGAAAAACGAAAACAGTTTGGCGTTCGTCGTAGGAGATGTCACACTGCAGGACTGTGCGCGAAATCTTCTGACACTGCCAGAATTTCGTCGATCACAATGGCCTTTAATCGGCTGTCGGTGAACATGTCAAACTAACGATCAAAGACTACAGATTTTAGCCTAGGATTATAGGAATAATTTAGGAATTTCAAAAGTTGTCTCCGATGACCAAATTGAGGCCAAAATCACACAGTGTGAGCTGGGCTTAAAAAACACTTAAAGTGCAGTTAATGTACCACCTCTGTAATAGAAAAATGGGTTTGTTGATATTGATTAGCCTGCAGTGTCTTGGTATTGCAATTAAATTTGATTAAATGTAACAATTTCACATGTAAATGCAAAATAAACATGTATCAAAAGCATATACTGTAAAAAAAAAACAAAAAAAAAACATGGACCTAGTGTCCGTGACGTCAACCATAGGTTTCCGAAGAGCATTTTTGAAGCCTAAAGTGAGCAGAGCCGGCCGTCGCCATCTTGGCAGCGCGTCACTCCTGGATAATCGAAAATGGACAAAGAGGCGGGGCATGGGTGGAGCTGGTTGCTGAAACCACACCCACCTAGCTCAATGGTGGTGACAGCAGCGGCAATCCACCTGTCATTCAAGTGGCCACGCCCTTAATTATGCAGAAGTTTAAGGCATTAAGGGATAGTTCGCACAAAAATGAAAATTCTGTCATTAATTACTCACCCTCATGTCGTTCCAAACCCGTAAGATCTTCGGAACACGAATTAAGATATTTTTGATGATATGTGAGATCTCTCAGACCCTGCATAGACCGCAACGCAACTGTAATATTCCCAGGTCCAGAAACGTAGTAAGGACATCGGTAAAACAGTCCATGTGACATAAGTGGCTCAACTTCAGTTTTGCGAAGCTACGAGAATACTTTTTGTGCGCAAAAAAAACAAACATTTTTTTTTCAACAATTCTTCTCCCCCGAGTTATGTCTTCCGCCATTTGCAGCCGTTCCAGCAACGGACGCAACCCGGAAAACTATCGGCATGGATTTTTGCCGATAACCGATAGTTCCAGCAAAAAACTATCGGTGCCGATTAATCGGCAAAACCGATACATCGGTCGACCTCTAAACAATGCTGATTACGCAGATTACGTTCATGCGTGCGCTTTCTTCCCCGAACGTAAACAACGCTGATTACATCGATTACGCTCTTGGGTACTCTCCAAAATGGCGGAAGATGTAACTCGGGGGAGAAGAACTGTGAAATAAATAATTTTTGTTTTCTTTGCGCTCAAAGTATTCTCGTAGCTTCGCAAAACTGAAGTTGA